GATTCACACTTCCTATTAATAAGCAAATTTATTTTTAAAAGCGAAAACCAAAGCCAAATGTCAGATTTCTCATTTCACTTCTTTAAAAAAATGGGTGGTATTCCATGTTTCTCCTGGAAGCTGGGGTCTTCCACTTTGTTATAATTCACTATGGCCACCATCTTTAGACTTATGGTGAAGAATAGAAATCTGTAACCAAACTACTTGACTTCTTTTACAGGTATTTATGAACCAGGCAAATAGCTTCACACTTAAAAGCCCCAGTTTCCTCCCCATAAATAGAAGTTACTATAGTATTTATTTCACAGGTTTGTTGTAGAACTCAAATGAGTGAATTACTCAAAATTATATCTGGTATTAAGTAATCATCTAATAAATATAGGCTGAATGATTATCTGTTCATTTTATTTCTACATATTTTAAAAAATCTTACTTGCTGTGAAATAAGCCTTCTGTACACTGTGAAGGCATGTTACTCTCATTGTTAATAAAGAGCTGACTGGCCAATGGCTAGGCAGGATTTTTGGGGCAGAGAGAATGCTGGGGGAGAAGAAGGACAGAGTCAGGAGGAGATTCCATGAGACACAGTATGAGCAGGACAGGAAGTACATATATTATGTAAACGAGCCTCAGGGCAGCACACAGACGGATAGAAATGGATTAACTTAAGCTATCAGAGCTAGCTAAGCACAAGCTTAAGCAATCAACCTAGTGTTTATAATTAATATTAAGTCTCTGTGTGGTTATTTGGGAGCAACTGCTGGGACACAGAAAAACTCCCGCTATACTTACTAATAGTTTGCTTTTAAAATTCTAGCTTTTACTTTTTAGTTTTCTTAGTTTTAACTAATATTTTTTGCATGTCTTGTCTCTTGTCTGTTTCTCTTCTTGCTTAATAACTAGATTCTCCTATTGAATCCTTAGATAACTCATCATAGACCTTTATTCCTTCCTGATAAATGCATCTACTAGAAAGTTATGACTCACAGCTAATACTGCTTTAGCTACAACCAACAATTTTGTGTGTGTTTGTGTGTGTGTAACTCATTATTTTATTGCCTTTCAGTTCCACTACCTTAGTTTCTAATATAATTTTCTTTACCCTATAAGTTAATGAGGAGTTTTATTCCTTTTTTAGAAAATGAATTATCTTTTCTCTCTTTTAAAGATTTTTCTTTTTATTATTTTTGTGCATGTGCATACACATGTGTATGTGTGCATATGCCTGAGTATGTGTGTGTGTGTGTGTGTGTGTGTGTGTGTGTGTGTATGAGTGAATCCATGTCACATGTGTGTTTGTGCCTGAGGAGTCCAGAAAAGGATGTCAGATCCTTTGGAACTGAAGTTACAAGAGGCCATGAGCTGCTTGACTGAATGTGGGTCCTCTGCAAGAGTAGTAGGTCTGCTGAACTGCTGAGCAAACTCTTTAGCCTGCTCCATCTTTCATAGGAAGTGTGGAGGGAGAAAGAAAAAGAGAGAGAGAGAGAGAGAGAGAGAGAGAGAGAGAGAGAGAGAGAGAGAGAGAGAGAGAGGTTGTTCCCTTTTTTCTAAACTGCTCAAATCAGACTTCTTGTTTGCAAACAAGGAAAAGGAACATAGTATGTAAGAAGTGGAGAGCATTTGCATTTGCTATGCTGCAAGCTTGACGTATTTAGATCCATTCCTGCCAGAGAATCAGTATCAAGAAGGTGGGACTTTGCTGACTGCTCTGTTCACTGCCCTCATCCTGGCACCCACAGAAAATATACAAGAGAGGAAACAATACATGCAAAGCCCATTATTTAAGTAGACACCAGCAAAGCAAAGCCTGGATAAAGCTCAATGATTCCTCCAGGAGTGAAAAAGTTCAGGAATGTCACTGGGAGATTCTATTGCCTCATTATTACTATCTGGCAGCAGTGGTTGAGAGTAGGCTGTGCTTTAGGTAGCAATTATTAATGACAGGGTTTAGGAATGGCAGCAGCAGTGACATGCAGGCATTCATGAAGGAATTTCTTGTTCATTAATCTTTTTAAAAACCCCTGTTTGTGCTCTTTATTTTCTATTTAAATACTGCCTTTGGCATGTATTAGTTCCTCTACAGTGTTGGCTGAAACTCTATTGTTTTTTGACTCATTTGTTGTATCAAATGCAGAGCCACTGAAGAATGGAACTGGTTATAAATCAGCTCTAAGGTTCCAGTTGGAAAAATCAGGAAACAAACTGGAACTGTCTGATGACATCAACTTCGCAGATGCAGCCACGCTGGGAAGCCAGGTTCAGGCCCTTAATGTTTGAACTGTATACCCTGTTTACCAACTAGGAAGGTCTTCACTGCCTGTGCAATCGGTGTCTTGAGGGAGGTAGCAATGCCTCGTAAAGCAAGGTGGTACCTGCTCCTTCCTCAGCTTCCCAGGGTCTCAGATAAACACATTCTCAGTAAACATATTCCTCCAGCAGCTTAGCATGAATCACTGTAGTAGCCTGTATTGCTCACACAGTCCTTAACTTCAGGATTTGTTTAAGAGCGGGTTAGCTGATGTCTGACTTGTTGAGTGCAACACAGGAAAGGCCCGTCTTTTTGTTGTGGTATGTATAGCAGAGGGTGTTGGGCCTCCTGCTGGTAAACAATTTCATGACTTAAATTCTTAATGTTAAGGATCGTCTCGTGCATCCCTCCGTTCCCACTGTGTGGTCTATTCTGCAACAACTTCAGAAAAGATGGTGCGCTTTCTTCCACAGTTTCCAGCGTAGATGCGGTTTTCACGCCAGTGTTTCTTGAAGCTGTTGTTTGCTGTGCAGAATGGTCTTCTGTACCGAGACTTGCTTCTCTGAACCGAATTTTCCATGGAAATTGTCCAGTGCTTCTCCGATTCTCAGGCGCTTTATCTGACAGTCTTTCTTCCTGCAGATAGTGGCTGGCAGCAGCCCACGGCGCAGAGGTTATATGCTGTATTTCTGAAAAAGCCTTGAATGGAGCCATTGTACCCCTGAGATGGACTGCATGTTTGACTGAACAGAGAGCGGGGCGTAAAAAAGGCACCTTGTATGCAACTGTTGGCAAGGTTGCGGAGTGAATTAACATCTCCAGAAAGTCTGGGCAGCACTGTTCAGAGGGAGCAATGAACCCTCTGGAAGTACTGTTAGCTCAGACATTCCAATGCAGTGAGGCAGCCTCAGCGACTAGGCTCCCTCCAGTGGCATTTACAGAGGGGGTGAGCGGGAACATTGGTCCTGATACTCTCTTTACAAAGATTTGGGAAAGGCACCCTTCTAGGGGTGGCGCCTGTGGATCAGCACCCTTGGGTGACCAGTTTGCTGTTTATGGGACCAGCATTTATTTTGGTTCTCAATAGTGCAGTGACTCAGTTGGAGGCATAGTTGCCTCTATGCCCACCATCTAATTCCCACAGCATGTTTAAAAGAAAGAAAACCAACCAGAAGTCTCAGGGTACCACATGAGGATGATATCTGGATTGCTAGATTTATGAAATGAATTACAAAATCACAGTGTGATGCTATACCACTTACCTGTCCAAGTCTGGGGTTGGGGCAAATGACCATTTATTTCTCATTGGTCTAAACTAAAATCCTAAGTGCTTAATGAACAAAGAATTTCCCTCAAAGCCTTCTGCTGAGACTTCCTGAACCAGCACTAGTGGGAAGCAGTAACATTAGTCTTCATTAAAACCCCAGTGGTAAGAAAACAGCAAAACAGTGGAAGGATAGGGCTGGCGGATTTTTCTTATGGGCAGAATTCTTTGGCTGTCTTGTGCATTCTTGTTCCAGCCTCTCCTGTGCTCTAGAGGCTCCCAGGAGGGGAGATCTTTTTAAAGAGGGGGGCCTAAGCTGAGCAAGAGCGGGGCCTGTGGGAGGCAGTCATGATCCAGATACACAGGTCAGCAAAGTTACAGGTAGAGCTGGGGGAGGTTGGGGGCTGGACACATTCCCTGATGTGGTTCACGGTGCCTAGGGGATGTTGGCCTCCTCCCATGATGGGGAGTTGGTATGGAGGGGGATATAGATATTGACGGTGTCTGCATTAATTAAACTTGTGGAGGAGACAGTCTATGGCTGTGGTGTGCAGGGTTGATTTGGTCCAAGGGAAAGACAGATGTGAGATGTGTGCCAAAAGGATCCGTTCTGATTGAACTGTGAGGAGGTGTCAGGGTTAGGGTCTCTGTAAAATGGGTAACAAAGCAGAAGGCGCAGGTTTAAGCAAACGGGAGGAGTTTTGGTTGTTCTCCAGGTCTCTGGCTCCCAGCTGCCGACGGCATAAAACTTTTGCCAGTAGCGGAGGATGCTCTGTGCAGAGCCGGCAGTGTCTGGCAGCCGTGAAAAATCTCCAGATTTGCTTAGAGAAACCAAACAGATAACGAGTGTTTTTCAGAGGTCACTTGTCAGGGTGGTCACACACTGCGAGATGACTGTCCTGAACACAAGGGTAGTGTTCTACAAGTACTCGTGAAATGAATGGATGAATGTCAGTGCTATCAGTCTCACTGCTGACACCTACTAGAGGAACTTCAGTCAAGTCACTTAGTAACCGCGGGCCTCAGTCTGTCACCCAGAGGTGGTCTGCAGCAGGGGAGACAGAGCAAGAGGACCTCTGCCCCTGAGGTGTGCAGAGTTCCCTCTCTCCCCAGAGCAGGGTGACCCGGCGTAGCTGTAGCCGCCTCCCTCTTGGGCCTGAGCCAGAGAGTGACTCCTGGGCGCCTTGGCCAGGGGGCCAGACGAGGGTCGCTTGGACTGCCAGGGCGGGATGGCAGGGTGGTGGGGGCGGGTCCAGTCCCGCAGAGTCGGGGGCGGGCCAGGCACTAGCCGCTCCCCTGGTCGCCCAGCGGCCCACGGAGGCGCTCGCGGCCTCTCACCCCGCGGGGCGAGTTCTGGGAAAGCCCGGCCCAGGGCGGGGGCCCGCGCCGCCCCGCTCTGCTGGGCTCTGGGCAGCGCGCGCTGCTGGGGCCAGGGACGCGCGGGCTGCGCCCGAGTGCGGGCGGGTGGGCGGGCGGCGGAGGCAGCGGAGGCAGCGGACTCGAGCTGCGATCAGGGGCGGCGCGCCCCGCTGGGTTCCCGGACACTTGCCCGGCTCCTGCGCGCTCGGCTGTGCGGCTGACACTCCGAAGCCAGGAGTCCCCACGCCTCTTACGACGCGCGCGGACCAGGTCCCTGAGGGACACGGCACTTGGGGCCCGCCGCACGACTGGCTGGAGATCTAAGGTGAGCCTGCCTGCGGCTCTGCCGCTGGGTCCCCACGGACCGCGGACCCGAGAGCTGGCCTGGGTGCCCTCCAGGCTGGAGTCGCGCCCAGCAGTAGCCTGACTTCTTGTACCTGGTGGCCCAGCGCCTCCCGCCTCCCAGGGGACAGCCCAGGCAGCCATCCCTCAGGGAATGCGAGGTTGGAGGTCACCCGGTGACCCCTGCCTAGGCTCACCATTTCATGCTGAGTGTGTAGTGTGGAAGTGGCCGGCACAAAGAAAAGCAGGAGTCCTTTTCGTGGCGGGACTCGGCAATGTTATTTCAAGGAAAGTTTCTCAGACATTGTTTCAGGAGGGATTTATCTGCAGAGCCCAGGAAATACAGTACAGCACCAGTCTCACTCTAACTAGTGACTTCGAGGATGGCTATTTATGCCTTTTCTCAAAATCCTTCTAAATAACCCAGATACACACAACTCTTTGGCGATGGCTCGTGTTAAGTGGATAGTATAAATACGCTTCTCTTTTACATTTAAGCCAAGGCACACTTGGTTCAATTGACTGAATCAGTTGTATAAGAAATGTTCATCATTAAATGATTTCAGTGTTATTTTAATAAACTCTCTGAATATAACTAGAGTTGACTTTGATACCCCCCCTTTTGTACATAGTTACAATTCCATCAACATTGGTGGATTTTCTTGACTTTCTTGTAGAACCCCCCTGAAGGCGCGGGGTGAATTCAAGGCCACAGAACAGTCACAGCTAAAACCAGGACCATTGGAATCCCAGAGGAGTAGCTGAACGCCCTCCTGAGGAGTGGTTGCAGGTGATTCCTTAGATACCAGCACTGGCTCCTAGCTGTCAGTGCAGGGCAAGCAAGCTGTCCCTCAGTTACTCTACACAGCCGCGGCTTCTCTGACAGACTATGCTAGAGAAGCAGTTCTCAACCTTTGCGTCGCGACCCCTTTGGGGCTGACCGATCTTTTCACAGAGCTTACCTAAGACCATCGGAAAACACACATATTTACATTATGATTCATAACGGTAGCAAAATTATAGCTATGAAGCATTATGAAGTAGCAACAAAAGTAACTTTGTGGTGTGTGTGTGGGGGGGGGTCACCACACCATGAGGAACCGTATTAAAGGGTCTCAGCTTTAGGAAGCTTGAGAAGCACTGCTCTGGATTACGTATTCTTCTTCCTCACCGATTCCCCTGTCTCCCAAGTGGCCGTTCCAAATACTAAACAGCCTTCACTCTTAAGTTTGTTGCCCCAACCGGAAACAGCCAGCGTTAATGTCAGGAGCCTCTTACCTCAATGGACCTGTGAGATTTATGTAGATCTCTTTCTCTCTTTTTCCCCCCACCCAAGGTATCTGCTGTGACTTTCTTGGTCTGACACACCTGGAAGTCTCTCCAGAAATAATTATGGGCAGGTATAAAATGTTAAGACCTTAGTTTGTACAAAGTAAAGCTCTATTTCGGAGGAGTTAGGATTGGAGAGAAGCATTTACTGTCAGTGTATGCTTCACTTACAGCCTCCCCCCAAGGGCAATTTGCTTGTGCTCAGGAGTGCCCCCTGGTCATCTTTGGCTACAGACCAGGGAAGAGGTGAGACTAAGCAAGCAGGAGGGGCTTTCTTCTCCAGTCCTTCTAGTAAGACAAGCTCCTTGACGCATTCCAGCTTTGACCTTTGTCATAAAAACTTCATACTTAAGTGGGTAGGGGTGAATCGAGAGTCCAGCGAAGGCTGTTGGTTTTCTTTTTCTATTCATAATAGTTCTCGGCTACATGTTTCGTTGGCCTTTCATCTTATACTTGATGGCATTTGTTTGGCGTGTGTAGTTTGCTACAAATTTCTAAATAAATAAAGGAAAATTGAAAAGGTGAGGAGTTTTGTAAACACAGAGGACATTTTCCTAGAGCATGGCTGTTTTGTTGGTATCTGTGTGTTGACAGTCCCTGCCTTCCACAAGCAGCTTCTACAGGACAGCTGCTTCAGTCCTGGCTCCTGTACTTCTCCTTGGGAGCTATTTGACAAGTGATGGAAAGATATGGATGGGACTTAGAAAAGCATGTAACCTCGTGAACCTTGGGTGGGGAAGACAAGAGTTGTGGATTGATGGGATGGGGAATGGAAAAAAAGTGGAAGGATATATCAAAGTGTGCCAGCTGTGAGGCCTGGTAAGGAAGTTAAGAGTCTCCCTCATACCCTTTGCTTCCCGGACCAGAATTCAGGCTTGTTAATTCAATGTTAATTCAGTTGAGCTGTGACTTAAGTAGGTTTTCATAGACCAGAATGGGAACATCGTTCTCTGTGGCTGTATTATCAATATGGTAGCCACTAGCCACATGTGATTAAGTTTAAATGAGTTAAAATAAATGAAATTAACCACATCTAAATGCTTGGACACTACATGTGACTGTATACACAGGGTGTAAATACAGGACGTTGGCATTATCTCAGAAAGTCCTGCCCTAGAGAATTGTTTCCATAGAGTTAATCTCCAAAGGGAACTCGTTTGCAAATGAAATCTTTAAAGTTTCCTGTTTAGACTCCCCCACCCACCCCCTTTTACAGCATTGGGCAGAAGTGCTAGAGCTCTGAACCCTTACCTGTGGCCTTCTGTGGGTTTAGAGGTTTGGCAGCAAAACTTGGTCCAGCCTGATGTGACTTTGCAAGGTCCCTTCTTTTCTTAGCTGGCAACAACTATTCATCTATCTTTACTTCAGAAACAATTGCTGTAATTTAAGAAAAGCAGTGCATGACAGAAAGACGCCATGGAACAGGGTTCAAGCAGAGTTTTTTTTTTTCTTAATTAGGGAAAAGTATCATAAAAGGGGGAAAGGGGAGGGGGAGACCAGCCTCTGGGGACAGGAACAGCAGGAGAGAGGAAAGAGAGGCAGAGAGAGAGAGAGAGAGAGAGAGAGAGAGAGAGAGAGAGAGAGAGAGAGAGAAAGATTGCACATAGGTAATGTGCACAGGTGGTGCTCTTAGTGGCTCTAGCTGAGGGTGTATCCTGTCAGAACCCCAAGGACAGGCCAGTACAGATGCCTGAGTACTAGCAATAATGGACAGAGGTGTTATGTAACATTGGGCATATGTATCTTTTATGTGGGCACAATCAAAATGGCTTCTATATATCATGAATGGTTTCTGCTGAGGAATGTATACTTCTATTATTAAGCCCATTTTGAAGATGGGAAGGCAGAGGCAGAGGAAGATTAATGCGTGTTAAGTCACAGGCAAGGCTAACCAAAGCAAACTGGCTCTAGAACCCATCCTCTTGACCACTGTGCCATCCTGCATCTGATTTAGACCTCATGATCCATACAAGTGATCAGGTGAAACTTAATAGCTTTAATTCAGCTCATTGGAAAGGGTCAGACAAGGCTAGGGCTAAACTGTTTAGTGGTTGAGGTTTGAAAGCGCTGGCCACTCAAGCCCGCTCACCAGGCATGCAGAGCAACTGTGTAGCTTGCCCTTCCCTTCCTCTGCCAGCCACACTTGGATATTAGCCACTGGCTGCCTGAGAACTGGAAGGAAAAGAGGTCATTTTGGGATATTTAGGGATAGTATAGATAAAACCGGACTGTGTTGAAACCTGTGTCGCATGAGGGTTTGTATTCCTGCTGTGGTGGAGGGAATGGCTTAGTCCTAGTGTAAAGCAAGCTCAGTGACAAGGATATTTTACTGGACCCCCAGGGTTCCCAGGCTTTCAGCCTGTTTCATAGGATATGGATCCACCTGACTCAGTAGGAAATCTCTCCAGGAATTCATACAAATTCTTTCTTTAAGGTCAGATGGAGCTTCAGGGTTCTTCTAGCTGGAGACAGGAATGGCTTTCTTATATCTCCTTACCCCAGGAAACCTCAGGTCTAGGTGGCTTCTTCTTGGCTTGGTGGCAACCCCAAAGTTTCTCTTTCGCATATGAGGGTATGATCTGAGTGCCCTCTGTGTGTTCCTTTTTACCAAGAACTCTTGCAGGACCCTTCTTTAGCCAGGGAACATGAGTGCCTCATGTCTTGAAGCTTATTGTCTTCTCCTACCAGGTAGCATGCCTCAAAGGATAGGTTCAGACACCCTTACGGTCAAAGGCAAAGTATCTAGACCCAAGTCTACCTGAATATACTTAAGTCTTCCCCCCAGCCAGTTCTGTAACCCTGAACAAACAATTGTTTTATAAGGTAATTAAAAATAGTGTCTCCAGTTAGATGATTCACCCAAAGCAAGTTGCATAGGCCCTTACATAACATATGCTAACTATTCAACAAGTTAGCTAGTAACATTATTGTTTCTTGGCTGTGGGAGTTTGTAGTTTGAGGTTTGGGAGGTATGTGTGGGAGGGAGGTCAGGGGTACTCAGGGTGAGTCCCTGGAAGCTGTGGATATACAACTTTATGTGACCAAATGGAGTCTGCAGATGTATTTAAAGCAAGAAATCATCCTGTATTTCTGTGTAGGTTCAGTCTGATCACACAGCCCCATAAGATGGAGGACCAGAATTTGTAGAGAGAGGTGTTTTGCATGATGTATAAAGAGATAAAAGACACAAGCAGATAGCTGGAAAAACACCATTCTGGCATGTTTGAGGCTCTGGGTTTGATCCGCAGACTGAAAAAAAAAAACACCCCGCAAGAAAACGAATTCTTTCCTGGATCCTGCTGAAGGAAACAGGCATGCAACCCACCAGAGACTTCAGACCTCCAGGGCTGTACAGTGACAAATTTGTGTTATTCAATTCAGTCAATGTGTAGTCATTTGTCACAGTAGCTTCGGAATCAGAATGCAACATGGCAGAGAAAACAGAGAGTGGTTCAGGGTGAAGCCAAAGTTTTCCCAGCCAGAGAGCAATAAGCAAGCCAGTCTTTGCTGAGAACTTTGTCTGAGGCACTGTCTCTGAGTATTTCATGTGTGTTAAAGTGCTTAACCGGCAGCCCCAGGAAGGTGTCTACAGGTTGCAGGAGCAGACCAAAGTCTGAGGCTTTGAGAGGTTAAGGACTGCCCAGGATCCCACTG